TAAAGCTAGCTTTAGCACTGCCTGTGGGAATACCTGAACATTTCTGCCACAATCATTATGTAATGAAAACTGACCGCAGTGGAAGGTTTTATAAAATAACATTTTAATGAACGGTTTTAAAATCTAAAAGACTGGAGATGTTTTAAGATCGTTGTTAGCTCGTTAACGTGTGTGACCACATCGAACACGGAGCTCAGGAAGATTTTAAATCTCCACGTTAAAACTAAAAGCTACAGGACCGTCTCCAAGCAGCTCCACGTCCCTCTAACTGCAGCTGACAAGATTATTCAAGACTCACAGGACTGTAGACAACCTCCCGGGGTATGGCCGCAAGAGGTAATGCGACCCCAAGTTGGTTGGATACAAAAGAAACCATCTAAAGCTGTTCAAGCTGAACTCCAAGGTCCAGTATTTAAAGTCTAACGATGGAAGAAGATCCAGGAGGCAGAAGAAGAAAAGGTTTTGTCTTCAGGAACAAAACCAGAACGTTTTGTTCCAGGTCAGCTGGGCTGTGTGGGTTTTATGGAATGTTTATTATATATTTATTTATATATATGTACTCGTGACTGAACAGATGAATAAATGTGGTAAAAACTCTGAACCACAGGAAGTTACTTTTATTAAAGAAGAAGAATTTTGATGAAAAGTGGTGCAGCTGTGTTCACCAGCAGGCCGGCGGTTTGTCACAACAAATACACAAAACACGAGACGACAACCAGCAGCTCTGATGAATCAAACACTAAATATGCACACGCTTGTTTACTCTCTAAGAAAACAGAAATAATGTGTTTTGTGATGAACCACTGAGTTAGCAAATCAAATAAATACAGAAAAAAGATGAAAAAACGAGAAACATTCAAATATTTACTGCAATAAAAACAAACTGGTTTAAAGGTTTCTGGTTACATCTGATTCTAATCCGTCTAATTTAAGAGTTTACTTTCATTTAATGGAAGATTTTTGTTTGTTTTGCTGCTTTAATGAAGTTTTTTTTAGCTTTTGAATGAAGAATAAACTTGTTTAAAGATGTATTTTTTACTCTTCTTCTAAAGAAATTCAGTTTTAATCAGATTCCTGTGATATGTTTGTTTAATGGATGATCAGAAGAAAAACAAGTTAAATAAAAAAAAACTCCCATAAATAAAGATGAAGCAGATTTAAAACAATAAATCAGGAAGTGAACACGTTTAGCTAAATATCTACAAGAGCAGGTAAAACTGGTCTGAACCAAACCTGGACCGGACTCTTTTCCAGATGAGTTGATGAAACTTTGAACAGAAACCCTCCAGCAGGCCCTGGTTTCCCAGGTTTAAAGACTGGTGGGGGGGCAGGTGGGTCGGCTTTAGACCATGAAGCGGTGCTCCTTGCCGTCGTGGGCCATCAGGATCACGTTACGGTTGGAGGTCCAGATGAGGCGAGCCAGCTTCAGGTGGTTCTGGGATCCCGGGGAGGCGGGCTGGACCGGAGGGACCTGGTAGGTTTTAATGCAGCGGAGCTGGGGGGCCGAGTTCAGCATCCCGATGCTGCCGAGGAGACTGGTGTTCATCTGAGGGGGAGCAGAAAAAAAAGAGTAAAATAAAATAAAATAATAAGAATAAGAATACAAAGAAAAATAATAAGAATAAG